GGGGGGGGGCGGGGGGTGAAGCCGAGCCCTCCGTCCCCACAACCGCTGCGCGTTTACACGTTACCTGTAAACTCGGCAGCGTAGGCGCTGCCCCGCTTTCAGGGGCTTAAAGCGGTGGGGGTCTGGGAGCAGCGCCACGGGTCTGTTAACGCGGTGTTTAAATTATGTTCAGGTATCTTGGTTCAGGCTCTGTTTGGGTGCGGTTTGAGGCTCGTGTTATGTTGCTGTAAAACTATGGTTAGAGCTTTCTTCTTCAGGTAAAGCAAGGGAATGGCTGCCGATCAGGTGAAGGTTGAGTAGGGTGCAGGACTTGATTTGTGTATCGAGAAGATGTTAGAGGAGCGTTTTGGAAAAAATCCCCTTTTACTAAGCCTGCTATTGTTCTTCACTTCTTAGATGCTACTTCAAATATGCTTTCATGGAATAGTTCCTGAGTAAATTTGTTCGATGCTGTGTTTTAAGTGCGATAGACAGTTGTCTGGATGAGGCATTCCCATACCACTGACCTAGGTTAGTAATGTAACTACTTACCTATCCAAGGCATTAGTAATCTAATGAAGACTGAGCTCTGTTTTTGTGGTAGCTTGTCAAACCTGAGCTTCTGAGAATCGGTAGTTAAGGAAGAGGAGGTGCCAAGGGAGAATGAGGAAGTTTGAAAGCAAGTGGGAAAGCTTGTTTTTAAAGTTTTTTGAAGCTTGCTTGCTTTTTAGAAAGTTATTTCAGAAGGAATTTGAGGAAGGATAAAGAGAATTTGATATTAAACGACAGTCATGGTGTTCGACTTTGAAAAAATAACGGCGTAAACAAGGGAACAGTGAAAGCAGAGGGGTCTTGTGAAGCGAAAATAAAATTGAGACCAATCATAATTGAAATATGGTCTGAGAAGTAACTGAATGTTGGTCTTCAAAGAGATTGACGTTGCCCGTGGGGCAAAAGTGAAATAACTGAAAGCACTGTAGAGGAACGAGTAAGAATGCATCTGAGGTGGATGTAAAATTCAAGGTATGAGAGTGCACTCAGACTGGGAATCCAGGTCGCTTGCGTCTTGGAAGTGTGGAGGGATAGGTAGTGTCTTTTTAAGGTGTGCTAAGAGGAGATGTAATCGCATAACTAACAAACAGAGAATGCATTAAATTTGAAGTCTTGGGAGATAGGTGGGGGGGGGATGATGAATGTTCTTGGAAGCTACCTACAGTTTTGGTAAAACAGAAAAGTTTGGCTTTTGAAGAAACACAGAAGACATGGTCATGCGTTCTGTCCCACTGTCCAAAGCTGGTTTCTGCTGAATAACCAAACGTGGTGGTCTTGGCACCACTGTGGGAATGTGCTTATGGAAGAATTGGAAGTACACTTGGAAGATCGTGCACAATGCCGAAGCTTTGGGAGCGGGCCGTCAGTGGGAGATGGAGTTAGGAGGAATTCTCGTACGTTTTAAATATAACGTTACCTTGCATCCCGTGGAAACGATTGTATTTTGTGACAGGCAACGCTCTATTCCAGGAGGCCGATTTTAGTCTGAGGGTTTTCTAATATTTCTTCAAACGAGCTTTTTTTACTTAGCCCCCAATCATTTTACCTAAAGTACTCTTAAAGTGTGTAATGAAGTCAGTAAGGCCTTACGGGTGTGAGTGGGAAGATTCTTAAGGCTACGAAATTTTGACATGTTATTGGATTTACTAGTGTTTTGAATAATTAATGATTACCCCACGCTTTTCTGTGGGGAAAATAGTTTTGCACTGCTGTAGCTTAGCTATTGCTACCAACAGTGAAAAATCTTCCTAGATAATATTAGTACTTTCAGTGGTGGAAGAATAAAAACATCTGCTAGCCCTAATACAGGAAAAAAGACTGCAAATTGTACTGACTAGATCATGATTGAGGGTGGTGTCCCCCCGCCCCACCCCCAGCTCGATAGTATTGAAAAAGGCATTACATTGTGTCTGTGTCTGCGCTTGGAAAAGAGTTTGGAGAGAGGTAGCGTTGCTAAGTGTTTCTGCGAATAAAACAGTAGGTGTTGTAAGGGTAAATTGGGCCTCTGCCTAAACAGTGTAAGACCTTAAAAAGCCTTTTAGAAAGTTTTTACTGGAGTTAAGAAAATTTTGATACAATCTGTGAGCAATAAATCAAAAGTTGGTGGAAGGTCTACTCCTGTAATACCTGTACAATGCATT